TTCCAACTCTTTTTTTGACCCTTCGTAATTCTTTTGTTCATCGTTTTTTTGCGCTTTTTTCGTCGTTATCGCTTTATTCCAGAGTAGTTCCATCAAATCCCGTCAAAAAAGGGCACCCTAACTTTTTTGTGAACGGTGCCTTTAAACTCCAAGGCTGTCATCAGTCAAGATCACTTCGCTCCCCTCACGAGTCGATATGAAGATTTCGTTATTCACAGCATCTATGAGGAATATTACATATCCATATCCACTCACTAAACATCTTTTTGATAGCGCGTTTCTGCTTGAAGGCTCTCGAAATGATCTACCAGCGCGGGATCGTGAGAGCTACTAATCGCGAGGCAAGCACCAACTACTAACTTTCGAACGTGAGAAATATGCAGAGAAGTGATAAAGGAGGATCCGAAAGAGAAAAGAGCAGTAGTCATGGACGAAACCCGCCGAGGCCGGAAAAGCATTCGCACGGACGGAGCTTCGCCAATTATAAGACCAAGATGACTTCCCTTCGTCGTGCCCGCTGAACAATTACTGCATCTTGAAGGACAATGAAGAAGATCGTCTACGACTTCTTCTTGAATCTCTTCGAAAGCCAATCCAATGTACTTGTCTATCCACCATCTTAGGCAAGACGGAAAGGAGATGCGTAGGATATGTCGTTACTTCAATGCGTAGGATATGTCGTTACTTCAATTTTCTTATCCAAAAAATAGACATGCCATCACGTCGATGAAGAATTGTACGGCGCTTGGTCCCGATAGCATAGTAGTAAACCAGACATTCAAAGAGCATTTCATCAAGTATCGTCGATACCCTGGCTCGTCACGCCGTACTTTTCAAGAGGCAAATGCCCACGTCATGGAAAACTAGCGGGACTGTGTTGAATGGGAGATTCGAAAAATATTTTCAATTATCGCGCAATCTGCGTAGTGTCCTAAAGTTATGAACTTTTCACACAAGCCGTTCACGAGTAACAGAATTGGCAGAACTCTAGATTAAGGGCAGTCGAAAAGCAGATTTCCGAGAAGGCTCAATTAGATCACGTCATCTCTGTGACGATGCTCACTGTAGAATCCCGAAAGTACTGGATGCCGTTATTTCCCACGTGCATCGATTTAAAGAACTCTTATGATGTTGCCAGGGCGGAAACGGCAATTAAGGCCCTACGCATTGACCTTTCATTCCTCTTTTCAGGGCGACGCCGAATTCCGCCAGCACTGCAAATTCCAAATGCAGGCGCATCCAGCGACTAGGCTCAAAAAATCTTCATCTATTGCCCTCCCATTTATTGCTTTACTGGTGCATTAACCGATATTTCTGCAAGTGAAAAATCTGGTAAGCTATTATACTCGAGGTCTTGAATAACACTTGCTAATGATGTCGAACGACGATAAAAACGTTATCAGAAGTCACAATACGGATATTAAAGAACTACAAACAAACTACTTCCCTTGAAATTGTACAGACTTCGGCCGGTAATTGTTACTGCATTTATCAATCATTAATTGTTAACCTACTCTTCCATCCTGTCTTTTTTTACAAGCGTTTAGAAATGTCAAATATCTAGAGGACTGTAAATAAGCTAGAAACAAAAAAAATGGAATCTCGTCTCTAATCAGCTATTGCCACTCCCTGTGATGCGTTCTCTTCGATTCAGTATCATATTACTATTACATACGAAGTAGCTGTGCTCCGTCGCCATACGAAAAGAGAAAGTGATCAACTCGCAACTATCAGCCAGCGCTTGTCAATCATTACTAGTCTTTCACTCCCGCACTCCTCGATCCCGACAAATTCCATGTCACTCGCTGATATGTCGCGCTTCCACTAATAACACTATGGCAGCCACCAACACATAGTTGGTGCCTTCGTTTCGCTAGGAATCTGCTACCCCTGCCTTACAAGACTGCTTATCAGTTTCTATCAATTGTTATCACTTCAATCAGACTACCATAACCGTCCTCATCCTGCCGCCTATATCCTCGCTTGAGTTGTGTGATCTAAGTCCAGGAGAAAGGAATTATGAATTCCAGGTCAAACACTCACGCCGACACACACCGACAAACCAACAGACACACTTAGCGAATTTTAGATAGTAGGATCATTTGTCAGAAACACTGTTAATTACCCTTCCATGAATGTGGGCATGAAACCTCGGTGAGGTAAAATCGGATTGAATTAATTACGGGCTTAGAGAACTTCAACCTCACTAAGATAATTTTTGGACAAGATTACACTCTTCCGGAGAGATACTTTATGACTTTTTGACAGAACGTCTCCACAATATGTTGTTACTGAAGTTCAAGTGCTGGCAAAACAACCTTTGTCTAGGTTGAATGGGCATTCTAAGGTCTCGAACAGCTTATGATCAAAACTGCAACTGTATACTGCATATGATCAGAAACATGACGACAAGACTACCGTGAACTCGGATTTAACGTAGCCCTGTCATCCACTTGATTATCGATTTTCTGGAGCGGGCGTCAGAAACGTCTCCATTTGTCCCGGTCACTAGCCAAAGTAGTTCAGTTTATCGTCCCTCTCAAGGGAAACGAGACAATGCATTCCTATTGCTCGGAGCTCTAGTGAAGAAGTCTGACCATTGCGCTCGCGACCATTCTGGTGTTCGTTTACATCCTAGGGGATCTAGTCAGTAGCCGCCCTAGTGTAGAGCTCCAAAACGCCCTTATATATTGGGTAGGTACACTCCAATGAGCCTCTTTCTTCCTTCTTTCGAAACCCTACTTGCTCGCGAGGCTGCGTTTTATCTAATATTCTGTCAATCCTGTTGGAGATGGAGCGTATGAGTAATTTCTCATGAACATCGTCTTCGTTAGGTGAGTTGTAAGCCGATCTCTCCACAAGCGATGTCGCATTCGGCCAGCATTTGTTCCGTCTGCTCTGTGTTAGGCGTTATAAGCACGATGTCGTTCTCAGCGCTAGACGATGTAGGTAGCGGCCATCGCCCTTCACACCCATGATTACTCACTCCACATGAGGCAAGATGTTCTGGAAAGCGGCACTGGGAAGTTTGGGCGAGATGGTTTCGCACTATCGAACCCTTCTCCTCACATTGATGATGGCTTTCTTATAGAATGGCGAGATCCTGCTCTCTCCGAAACCCTTGCTCGCGAGGCTACGTTTTATCTAATATTCTGCCAATCCTGTTGAAGATGGCGCATATGGGTAGTTTTTAGACTACGTACACTAATCACATTGAGCGATAATTGCTAATATCGTCTGGATCGGATCTCTATTCCTATACAGCAACACAGTGTTGCTACATAGTTTTCCACGAAGTGGGTACCTTGCATGACGACCGGTACCGCGTAAAGAGCAGGATTCTAACAATGACCGACAAAAGGCACATTAGATGTCCTGGTTTATCCTATCGGGACCGTGAAATTTTTCATCGAGTTGACGGAATATCCAACTTCGGTAGGGAGAACTGAAGGGGCGACATATCCGTCTTGCCTATAATGGTAAGCAGACAGTTATACGTGGTTGTCGAAGAGATGAGAGTAGAAGTCGTAGATGACCTTCTTCATTGCTCTTCGAAGTGCAGTAACTGTTCCTCCAGCATGNCATTAGATGTCCTGGTTTATCCTATCGGGACCGTGAAATTTTTCATCGAGTTGATGGAATATCCAACTTCGTTAGGGAGAACTGAAGGGGCGACATATCCGTCTTGCCTATAATGGTAGGCAGACAGTTAGACGTGGTTGTCGAAGAGATCAGAGTAGAAGTCGTAGATGACCTTCTTCATTGCTCTTCGAAGTGCAGTAACTGTTCCTCCAGCATGACGAAAGGAAGTCATCTTGGTATTAAAATTGGCGAAACTCCGCCGGTACGAATGCTCTTTCTGGCCTCGGCGGCTTAACTCGTATTTTGGAATAGCTTCTACGTCAAGTTCCCTTCATTTTGTTTCAAAAATGATACGCTCACGTAATAGCTGACGCACCCCATTGAGAAGTTTTGCGATCACGGATACTGAAGCGACCATACACGGAGAGGGGCGTTCTAGGTTAGGTTAGGCTTTGGTATTCATAATTCTCCACTAAAGGGAGAACCTTGGCATAAGCTAAGATGATTGTTGAATGATATCATATGAACAGAGTGATGAAATCTGATACCATGCGAGTATGGTAGAATCTCTATTACCATAATGATTGCATCACGACTACCCAGGTAAGCCGGGATACGCTGTATGGAAATGAGGCGAAGTAGCCGCAGTTCAGGCTTATTCTAATATCACTAGTTATGGAACCCATTCGACTGCTTAACCAATCAATTACTCAATAGGCAGCGGGTGCTCATAGAGCCGAGTTGTGTGGGATGACTGATCTATAGCTGACCCATCGAATACACAAATTTCGCCCCAATACCCCGTTCATTAAACTCTGAATTAACTGGAGTGCTATTCACGATGCTTGACAGGCGCAGGTGCTCAAGTTTTTGTGCGGAACAAAGACATCACTGTGAAGGTGAAAAGGAATGCTTTCGGTGAATCTTGGCATGGTTTCAGCCAGTCTTGGCAAGGTTTTTGCCTAAACCTGTGAACAAGATGTCACAAAAATTTTATCGACTTACGTTTCGGCTTTGCCGCCTTCGTCGGAGTCTGGAAAATTAGTGCTTCAAGCGATCCATCCTCAAACAACTTTACAACTCCAAGAACAGTTCTTTGGAAATAATAGTTTTACACCTGGAGGGATTGGATCGAGCAAGGCTGGTGAATTCCTTGGGAGCTCACTGGGTACAAATCCACGGAGATGCGGTGTTCGAATTTACAGTCAGAATTATGCTACAAGAACTCCCCCTCACTTCGGCGCTCAGAACACAAAAAGCATCCTTTATCAGCACCGGATCCCCCAAAATGAATAGGAGGACGAGTGCCTAGACAAAGCTGGGGAACTTGCACCTTCCCTGACCTCTAAGGGTTTCGCTTGCCTCCGATATCTTGCCAAGAGGACATATCATCTGAAGTCACCCTCTGTAAGTCAGTTCAGTGGTGGTCAACATCAAGAACGGTCGTTTCTTGAGGTGTTTCCGAAGAGCTTTGTAATTACTGTGTCTTTGCTCATTCTCGCCCTAGAGGTATAGAATCCTTAGGTCTAAGAAATTGTTTCTGGAGCCCTAAATGTTGTCTGAGGATGGATCGCTTTAACCTTCAACTTCCCAAATTCTGACGAAGGCGACAAATTCAAATCCGAAAAGGAGAATAAAAATTGTTTGTCATCTTGTTTACAGGTTTGAGCAAAAATCTTGCGAAGACTAGTTATGATCGATTGGATTTGTTGTGAAATTCACGGCTTGTGAATATCGAGTTTACTTCTCCTAGTACTAGCTAGGGAAAAACCTGCGATGTCGATGAGTCCATAGGGCGCGACATGACGAAACTCTCGTAGGAAAGGGCCCAGTTAAAGCTCATATTCAGCAAGCACTACTTTCCAATTATTGTACACTAGCAGAAGGACTAGCGAGTTTCCATCCTTATTGCACCACTTCGAAATTGTAGTTCGCTTTGGCTACGCCATATGACGCATGCCCCATAATTCCTTTCTATTTTGCAAACTGCATATTAGCGAAATTCCGTAATACCCCATCTCCGCCAACTACACTTTCACCCGGATCTCCAAATGTGAAATCTGGAACACATAATCGTGAATTCATCTACAATTTCAGCGGACATTGAGTTCAGCTCACCTGTATCCGCTGTGGAGGTTCTGAACACTTCTCATCCGGCCAATTGGGCATTGCTACCAATGAATCCTTCTTCAAGCGCGTAGCAATCCGCTTCATTGTGTGCACCTCTCTACAACTACACAGCCGCTACATTAGAGAAACCCTCCTGCTAGAGTTCAAGAAGAAAATTATCACGATCATAGACATAGACTACTCATTTCCATGCAACGTGGGAAATGAAGCCGTCCAGTGAAGTTCAGTCAAATCTGATTTGTTGAAAGAAAGGAGGGATTGCATCTCATATCGACTTCAAAGCTGTGAAGCTTTTTTCTTCAGCGATAGTCTTCAATAACTCCCCAATCTTTTAGCTGTGGGTATTCATTAATTACAGCTCAGCTGCTCCTTTTTCTGTGGAGGGCTGCTCTCTTTCGAGCATTTTTTCGTTGCCAGAATACGTACAGTGTGCTGAACGCATCTGAACGGAAGCCTCTTCTCTAAGAATGAGAGTGGAGATGATCCGCCGAGTTATTGTTTCTTACTGAGACACAGATATCCCGTATTGAAATGCTTGCACGGTATCTCACGACGACGTGGTATAGCCACAGGGTCTCTACAAAGAAATCTCGTTTCTCTTTGGAAAATGCCGACAGTTAGAATGTCCATTCAAAGAAAAAAGGTAAACCAGCCTGTAAACACAAAGGTGTGCTTCGACAGGTCCAAAAAGGGCAGCATTTCAGACCGATGAACATCAAAGGACGAGAAAATGCTCAACGGGAATAGCCGCAAAAATGCTGCCGCCCGAGTCAGTCAGCCGCCAATCAGATGCAAACATGGGACTTTCCGCGGTGCGACCAGTTGCATCGCTTTTGTTTATGAATATCCACTGTATTGCCGTAGAAGACTGATAAGGATCGATAAAGCCTTTGAGCGTTGATCAATCCCACCTGAAGAATGCGCCCCCAAATCCGACTTCCATTCAATATCGCAGTGGCGTATTGAATGCGTAAGTGCCCTATACAATGAGTTGCGGTGGCCAGTCGATGTACAAGTCAGTGCTATTATTCTCCCAGACGAGTCTGGTACCAATTGACCGACCCCGCAGGGATAATGGAAAACTTGCTCGGCCTTGGTGGATATCGGTCCGGGATTTGAGACCGTGACCAGACCGCGAGTGTGATAGTGCAGTGCATCTATCCTCTCAGACGAGTCGCTACATCATCTTTGCCCAGAAGAGACTGATTGTCCTATAAAATACAGAAAGGCCACCGAACGATACAAAAGTGCCCGGCCAACGACAGCATCCACCGAGCTTTACGAGAGCCCGTTACAAATTCTTTCAGAAAATTTTGAACAGGTAATGATCGATTTAGGGAACAAGTCGTAGTCATAGCCGTAGCTGCAGAACGGACCATATGTTCAATATGAGATTTACGAAATTACTAACATCTCATTGGGTCATTTGGTGGAAGCGGAGTAAAGGAGCCTTGAACAAATAGTGCCATCTTTCTAAGCAGGTTCTTACATCACCAATAAGTAAAACTAGACGGAAGGTATTCGTGCGCATTCCAATCATGCAATGAATTACGAGGTAATGAGATTGGTAATTCATGCAATTCCCAAGTGTTTCATTCATCACTTATGAAATTGGTTACATTGATCTAGTAAGTCATCGTGTGGGAGTGCATAAAACAAAAGGCTTTCTCTTTTAGACAGCTATTACAATCAATTAAATAAATGAATTCGAGAACCAGGCTATCTTCTTCTGGAGTTCTGGTGATCGAAATTCATCACAGCTCGCTAAAGGATTTAATAAGCAAATGCATTTTTATTCCAAACAAAGAAACAATTTTGAAGCAAGTCAATGAGATCCATGTGAATGTAACCGTCATGCAAGATAATCAACAAAACAAAAGCAATGCCTACAAGCCAAAAGATTGACTAGGATAAAACTGTGATTCTAGCGAGCCTTCAGTTAGGAAAGAACTGAAAGTGACAGGCCGCTGAAATAATCACCGACGTTTGAAATCACGCTTTTTCTTGCCATTTTTACCTGAAAAAAGAGGGTAATTCGAAAGTTCAGTAAACGCCAACTTCTGAAGAGAAGGATAGAATTGCAAGCCTTGAACCTCAACTTGGAATACCTGAGTTATCTCTCGAGTCTTCAGGTGACGGCATATTTGTTGCACTCCCTCTACTTACAAGTCGCTTCTCGGCATTTCGTCTCATATTGAGCCCACTAATCTGCTTTACTGTAGCCAAAGGGTCCATTGCGGATACTGAAATGGAATCCAATCCAGTTTAGACTAATTAAGGTATGCCAAGAGAGCAAAAAATTTATGATTAGTTCTATGTCCTCAATCATCATATCATCTTCTATTTCTGTGTTCAAAGCCGACAATGGCACTAGATTTAATTTCTACTCACTAGGTAATCCAGAAGCGCCAAATAGCTCGTTCTCAGCACAACAAGCCTTACTTCGTGAGCTTGTTCCTCCAACATTTTGAACATGCGTCACTGTAAAAGGGTAAAGGTAATAGTGTTACACAGAAAGTAAATTCACTACCATCCTCGAAACAACCAGCAGAGGCCGCGACATGTTCAAAAGAGGATCATGCGAAATATTTAGTGAGAGAGGTATGACTCCGATCGAAAAAGAAGCTAACGTAGAAAATAGGAGTGGCTGCTTTCATAGTCCGCCGGCCGGCCCGCGAGCGCGCCTGTCGGGGGCGGTGCTTTCCCCTTGTTTACAACTGAATCTTCACCGACACCGCAGGCCGAGTAGTCCCCGGTCGGCGCTCGCTGGCGGGTTGGCCGGCCGGGGAGCCAGTGGCTGCTTTCAGACTTCGACGCCCGTCCGTCGTCCTTCCGTTCAACGCGTGCTGCGACGATGGTCGCACACGTATCGCGAAGGCGGTTTTAGAATGGTGTTGGCAACACTGCATCACGTGCCAGCGCTATCAACACCTATCTAGAGCCGTGGTCGCGGCACGCTTTGAACAGACTGACGGACGGACGGACGGACGTGGAAGTCTGAGAGCAGCCAATCACACGGCCAGGAAGTTAGGAAATCAAGTGGAACGGATAGAAAAGGAGCGTGATGTTTGTTTGTTATAAGGTCACGGATCAGAAGGCATAACTAGAGTCACTTTAACCAGAGATTTTATGGCCAGAGGTAAAGTTTTTTTACTGCTACTTGGGTAGGTTTTTGACCCATTGCGTACCGCAGTGTTTTCGCGCTCGCTTGTGCATGCGCCCGGTGTTTTCTTCAGAATCGACGCACCGTCGTGACTCGCGGCGTACAGCACCCGGCCACACAGAGCAATTTTTTGAAGGAATCGCAAAGTATGTGCATTCAAACTTTACTCAAACTCTAGCGTGAGTCTGGGCCAAAACGTGAGCACGGAGAGGCGAAGGGGAGTGCTGCACGCAGTGGGTTAAACTACCACTCTGTTCCCCCCCGCCATTCCAAACCCTATTTACCGGGTTCTTCGGTCCTCAACAATAACAATGACCAAAACATCAACCTATTCGAATGTTGATATTCCGTAAAGATGGTTCATTCCTTTACACCAAGTTTGCATTACACAGCGTCTACGGCACTTGTTTAGCAGTTAACCATTAAAGCAAAAAACGATTTACGAGGGTTATAGCGACAACTCCCTTAATGTCAAAAGTAAATGAGTAGAACCCACTTTTCTTCCTAAGAGAATCACCCGTCTGTGATGAAGTATTTGTCTGCTTTTTATCTGTTGGGTGGGCAACGACGTATACAGTGTTGCTCTGAAAAAAGCAATCACGACAAAACAGTTCCTGTAGCATGCGAATCATACTTAGCAACACATGTTTAAATGATGCTCTTGAAAGATTTCAACTAACCTTGAAGTGGTCCGAAGGTAGATCATCGAGAAAAGTTCCTAACCTCATGTTCTGTATCTCATATAGTAACTCAGCCAAGCAGTTAATCAGTACTTGCAATGCGAACGGCGGCTAAAAGTTTTATCAGACCTCATCAATTTCAACAGAAGAAGTACATTGACTGACGGGCACTCACTTTGCTGACAAGTCTAGTAATTGAACACGCGACGTTGAAAAGTAAAGATATTTGGGAATAAACCCGTTCTTCTCTCTTTATCATAACTTGACAAGGAGGCTGAAGGTCCTCTCTGCAATAAAATGCTTCCAAAAAATAGGGGAAACAGATGAAGAGAAGGTAAATTTCGATGTTTTNTTTTAAACAGAAATTCAGAAAACCCCTACTTTATTTCTGGAGGGAAAGGGAGTTTGCTCCGGCGTAAATTGAGAACCTGAACAAAAAACTGCTGTCTGGGTAATGTAGCCACAGATGCAAGAAGGTCAGAGTTCAAAGGATCATACCTCTTTTTCAACATGACTTTTCGTCAATTCACAAAATGCTTGCAGCAGATCATCAGCAACACGTGCACGTTCGGCGTCATTACATTCCGATGCGTCTTCATGGTTACTATTTAAAGAAGCTGCATTACTAACCTGCAAACGTTCACAGCATTCAAAATCTGTTTGTAACATACGCCGGTACCTCAAACTGACTTTGAAATAAGCCAACTTTGTGGCGACAGCAAACACCAAGAGATGCTGAATGAGTCTTAAGCCATGAAATGTACTTTCACAAAGTGAATCGATGAGTCGAACCTCTCGTGAAGGATCAAGTGCCTACAATGAAAAAAGGTAAACAATACTTTCAACACTAAGGATTCGTGAATGGCTGGTGGGTTTATCGACATGCAAACAGCATTGAAAAACGAGAGAGATAATAAAAAATGTAGCAACGTATGCAGATGAACATCTTTGTGGAAAAGGGAAGCAAACAAGATGCGCACATTGGAATTGGAGTGGTCTATGAAATCTAGTTGTCGTAATAATACCTCTACGAGGCGAAGGTGATTATTATTAGGTCTCGAAAACCACGAACAATCGTGAGAACATACATTATCTAGCATTTACTTGAGTTGGAACTCCCTGCCTAAATGGTTCGTTTTCATTCGAAATATGGCGCACACAGGCTGGTTGATGATAACTTCTCTTTTCAGAATCCATACTTAATGTGAAAAGGTTTTGACATAACCTAGCAGAGTAGTATCATGAGTTTAGAGATTGATACTTGCCCGGTGAGTATGTGTTTCCTCGTGCGAGGTGGTTCCCACTTTTTAGTGTGATCGTCAATCTGGGAGGTCAATAAAATTCAATCAGATACTTCGAGTATGTATTGATCATCACCAGATTCGAACCGATTGAAACAAAGCAAAACAGCAAAATTTCATACCGCCGACTGTTCGACGCGTCATGAACGAAGAAAAATCGTTCTGTTCAAAGGCTGCACAACCAAGGGCTCAATGAAAATCACCCTTGAAATGAACGCACCCGTAGTAGTTCTGACAAAAGAGGTGACAAAGCAGAAATGCGCTGCCGATAATGCATTTGTCCACAGCTATCAACAAGCGCCATCGCGATCTTTTCAATGAGGTTCTCATCTCGAGGTCGTACAGATATATCTGAACATCCAACATTCGATCACTGCATGATAATAATAGCACGGGAAGCGTACCTTTTTTCAGAAAGTCGGAAGCCAAATCAACATCAAACAACGCCAATTCGAAAAAAGATCGGAAAAAGCACTCAGCAGGTGAAAACGGGAAATCTACAGCGATTTGTTCGCTTTGCTCCTGCTGATCAAGTGCCAAGCACTTATAAAGTCCGGTAGGAAGCTGCAAAAAGTCACAATAACCGCAGCAAGGAAAACTGATGAACGACATTAGGCAGACTAGCTAACATTTGAAGTTAAGACCCAGCAATGATTCAGATTCTTACCTGTTGTTTGGGTTCTGATAGCGTGCGAGAAAACCATGCGCAGACAGCATATCTGACCCACCACGGATATCGTCGCATCGAAAAAAGAATGAAATCTGCAGTTTCTGGTTCAAACACGACGTTTTCACCTGAAGTAAACAACCATTTTTACAAACAATTGGCAAGGCTGACTGGACCCAAGAAGAAACAGATTATCGGTCACTCCTTTCTCCAGGTGAGATTTTCCCATCCTTCGAGAACGCCATGTCAGAGATCTCAAACCTTTTTGACCCTTTTGATCCATGCATAAAAACCGAGATACGCAAAGATGCTTAATCCTAAGCTGAGATGTGTTCATCTTCAAATCAGAATCGCCGCTTTTCAAGAGTTCTTGACTTATTACTACTATCAATCTACGAAAACGAAACGTCGTGGTCAATTCTACCGACTCGGTACAGTTCTAAACCCCTTAGCGGTATACACCACTATTCAGGCCGCATTGGGCTCTTTTGACAGACGTATCGATAAATAGTATCGTATCTATGAACTTCCCTACGAAGAAATGATAGAGAATGGAGCGGAGAATCTTACTGCGCTGAAGGAAGATTTACTGAGCGGGAGGAACGAGCACAAATTGGATACTGGAAACTGGTCCCGTTGTCTATAGATGCTAAAAAAAAACTCTTACCGCAGTCATAAAGAGGGCCAAATTCAAGGAACTAGTTGTCATGTTCAGAAGTTCAATGATAAAGAAGTGGTGAAGGAGGTTTCGGACCAACCGAAGCTCACCGTCGAGCTCACCATCTCTATCGTCCCCATCTCCAAACAGAAAGGGAAAGAGATGGAGTATCCAAATACGGGATCAGGTGGTCGGTAGATAGTCATAAATGAAGCTCCCACGCCTCAAAGGGCTGAAAAAATGATTAATGAAAGGAACGCCAGCAAATAACCCCTCCTTTTCCTGCAGAAGTTGGATCACAGGAGAAAGAACTCGCAGTTAAGCAGCTGAAGAACATTTTCGATAACGGCCTATCACAGTAGAAAAACTTCAGGATAAGCTGCGAAAATGGCAGTACTTACTAGCAGGGAGACCATGTTTTCGAGCTCTGAGATGCAAAGAGCGAGACGTAGGTTGCCATGAGGGACAGAGGAAGGTTGTGGAGTATGACATAGCGGTTAACGGTAAATGAACGGCAAAGAATTAAATACGTCTGACAATAAATCAGGAATGCTCTGAGCGGTGTCCTAAGGCAATTGCACTCGATTTGCAGAAAATGCCGTTCACGTCAAAATTCGAAGTACAAAGATGCAGCTGAGCAGTCGTACAGCGGATCCGTCGTCTAGTCGTTTCTTTCGTCCTCCACTGCCCCCATCTGCGTGTAACAGTCTTCTAACCGTCTTCACCTTTCCCGTGAATTTTGCCTTTTTGAGCCCAAATACAAACCGTTGTGATCAATACCACGTTGAGCAATTTCTTTTTCCGAACCCATTCTATGAGTTCTAGTAAGTTTCTTTGTATCCTCCCTCCATATCACAATGCTCTACAAAGGAGAGTACTGGCCCATACCCGAGAATCATGACAAGTAGTTTCGTGTTTCTGAAATGGTCAGACTTTCGCAGAGAAATCGAACTTCATCTTGTTGAAAGTGCTCTAGCAGACTCCACACTAGTTCAATAAATCACTAAAAATTATCGTTATTATTGAGACGTGTGACAAGACTTGTCCCCTGTTTCCCCATATATTCAATTAAAGGCGATGGGACACAGTCGACACCGTTTCTCGGCTCGTGATTTCGTGAGAAAGATTTTATTGCTCCGCAGAAACTGTTCATCCCATTGTCCTCAAAATGTCTGTCAGTCTTCCCACCTCAAGCCACGTTGTATTCCATGTGTCGCACCCGTAAAACCTCCTAAGTAGTGAGGTGGGTGTTGAAATCCGTCTGTGTGTTTGACCGTTGAACGGGTCATTTCTGTACCATGACTTTTCTTAGATCCGCTGGAGCATAGCTCCTTACAAAGATTGACATTGAGGGTATCCAAAGACTACTCGAGAGACATGAAGAGAGCCTTTGCGCATATGGAGCCATCCAGCTGCAGAAAACGGGAACTCGTTTGTTGAGTTTCTTCTGGGTGAAGTTCTAATTCAGTGACCCAGGAAATATTGCACAAAGCACCCAGACATCCCTTAAATACGAATAGAAGGCGAACAAAAAGAAGGCATACATCAGAATCGCGGCCAATTGTAACGTGAATCTCACTAGGCAACTCGAACCCTCGTACTGTTAGCATCGCAGTGTCAGATAATCTGTAAAACAAATGATCTTACTCGATAGTTTTTTCCCAAGCGTCTTCAGAAGAGAGTGGCAGATGTCCGCCGCTTGTGGATTTTTCTGTTCATACTCCATGAAAAGTTCCACGATTAACAAAATAAGCTCTGGAGTTCGCGTTTCCTTTGAACCTGTAAGCACGTTTGTCATTCCCAACTTTATCCAGTCAGTCCAACGTTTATCTACAAGAATGAGAAGGTAACTAGGAACTAAGTATAACATACTGCTTTTCCCTAAGGCTGTGGACCAATCAAAGTGAGTTTCTTTGACGCCAACGGTCTGCATGAGCCTTTAAAAGAAGTCTTATAGTCTTGATATTTTATCATATAAACGTTTGGAAAAGGACCCACCTGTGAAGCAGTTTGAGCATGAGAACCTCATGAGCCCTTTTCATAAGATGTGGCAGAACAAACAACGCGACTAAAACATTGGCGTTCATAATTGACGATTCTACAGCGGTTGAAGAAGGCCCTTCAGAACGATCTGAAATTGCGATAAAGTTAGGGGTATGAAAAAGAACGCAGACAATACCAGACTTTTCACTGCAGCAGCAGGTTAACAACACTCAAGTGAAACTGAATGGTACCCTAGTTCTAGATCCAGCTGCAAATACGCGCCAACCCTAGGTTCATTGCGCGACAACAGCCCAGTAAGATACTAAAACCTATCCCGAGTTACCAGGAAAAGTTCTGAAGGAAAATCACCTCGGGTCTTTAAATTCAAGATGACAAAAAAAANNAAAAAAAAGCACGCAGGGCCACACCCATAACACCTCTCACGTCATAGATTTTCCCCGAGAAATCACGTTTAATCCTACCAATTTTTTTTGCATAGCTATCACCGGTATGGGATGATCAAAGACAAGCGAAGTCAACAGCGATTGGCTGTGAGACCGTTACACATTTATAGAACAGTACTCTACTTAGACGTTTTCGACAAGGCCCCATGTGGCGTCCTACGAAACCACAGGTCCTTTTCAGTATGTGGTCTCCGAAACCAATTCTACCGCGAATCGCTATTAGGTTTGCTTCACAATGTGACAAACTGAAGATGAAGTGTAGCAAAAGAAAAAGGCGAAAAAAGGTAGAGGGTTGCTGAAAGCTAGTACCATGCTTAATAGGTAATGGCTTTTGAATTTTTCCATCACTTACATCAGAATGAGCCAATTCCCTGCGATGATTCTTCGATTGCTATTCGTCAAGCCCAGAAGCAGAAAAACAACCACCTTCTGCTTTTACTACGATGGCAGCTGACCACAAAACTCATCACACAACCAACAGAACATCAAGAATCAAGAACCGTTTATACCATAGCATTAATGAACCCCATTCAGACCAGCTGCCCCGAAATTACTACTTACCATGGGCACAACCAACCACTAGATACCAGTTGCATTAATGTGTCTATGCTGAACCCATGTAATTTTGTCAAAACACATAGTGGAAGTTTGTATGCAAAAGTAAGATGAAAGCACACTTGGACTTGCTCCTTACCATGTTATGTACCCCTCACACTATTGCAAATATAACCATTTCTAAGCGCTCAAAGTTTTCATTTCATTCACGAAAGAAAGTAACCCAAATAAGGAAACAAGGCTTTACTTGAAATAGAAGTGTAATCGTCTCCTTTCTCGATTGGTATGAACACAAACGCATTCATTCTACACTAGTCTTGATATGACATTCATTCTACACAAGAGTTTCATAGTGAGCTGGGGATTTTTTTTTTGTGCAAAACGAAGGGTCGGCTTGAACAGACTAGTGCAAAGTGGTTGACTACGGAGACTGTGAGCTCACCTGCTGCAGGCTTCTCTGTTGCATCGCGCCGTTTTCTACGGCACAGGGAAGACAACAGGTAGACCAAGCGATCTTGCTGTTCAGTATTCGTCCACCTAAAAAATGCCTTCTCAACCAGATAATATAAGAAATGACTGATTTTTGTTGATGAAATACTACTTCGAGACAAAAACAGACCTATGGGCCTCTTCTTCGAAGTTTAAGATGATGCAACTGGTGAGAACAGACATCGATGGCGGCGTGACGTTCTCCGAATTGATCTCTTGTTCAAAAAGAACGCTACAATGGCGTAAAATCTATAAAAACGATTGAACACAGGTGCAACAACTCAAATACTGGAAAAAAATAACGCACGTTGAGCACTCCTGGCACTATCAACTTGTTGTCCAGTGTCTGTATGAGCAATCGACGTAATGTTGATAAAGGATTCACAAATAGGTAAAATGAAAGCTGAAAAATGAATGTGAAATTGATTGGCCTGAAAAGCGAAAACAGAACGCTCGCAAGAGCCACCTTGTCTCTGATTTTTTTGAACTTTGGGAAATTGTTTTGGATTTCCACATGGTCACCTATTCCATTAACACACTCCGTGACATCCATGTCGAAATTCTGAAATTTTCCAACCATGCGTGCATCTTTCGGAACAAACATTTCATAAGATTCTCACCTTTAAGTGTTCTCCTAAAGAAGGCCAATTCCCAAATTTAGCGATCCATGCTTCATAAAAGTGCTTTATCACCAGATCCTATAAGTGGGAAATTTAATCTCACCTGAGTGCGTAATTAGATTTAGCCGAAAATTCACATTCAATTAAAGACCTTCACATTTGCTGGAAAAGAACAGAATAAGTTTTGTAAGGCGGCGAAGAATGCTGCAACAACATCTGATGAACAGGCTAGAATAGTGTCCATGACCGTCACGATTCTGAAGCATAAAAAATGAACCAAAAATATAGGTGATGAAGTTGAACACATAACATACCGAACGGTCAGTTGTACCACATCATCGCAAGGAAAAATCCAATCGTTCTCATCTATCACAATCTTACTCAACTCCTGTAGAGCCAGAGCGTCAACGTTTCCAGCCAAAATCATATCCAATACCTAAGTTAGGACTCGTAACTGGCTTACTAGTTGAAGCGGCGAAACAGAATGAGTCCACTCACATCGCTCATCTGCCGAACGAATTGGCCATTGTTGCTCGCAGATTCACATAGAACATTCTCAACACTATCACTATGACTCATGGAAAGATCCTTCAGAAAATAAGGTAGTTGTTTCACAGAAAATTTCAGCGCGACTGTAGGCTCCTGCTCCTGAATAACTGTTTCGCGATACGTAAAGAAAAAGAAATGAAACAAACGTGACATTTCGACAGCATCATTAGGCTAGGACAACAAACATACCTTGTCCACCAGCCGTAATATGTCAGCAGGTAAAATTTTGCGTGATTTCGGGTCAACACCTGGAAACATTTACACAGCATTTCGTTATGAATTGCAACTCTCCAAACCTCCTTTTGAAAAAAGACAGCGAACCGTCGCTTCTCCCATGTCCAACTAAGAAATCACCAAGGGTTCACAGCTTTGGTGACTGGTTCCACACAAAAAACAAAGTTGTGGGAAAAGATGAATGGAAGGAAGAGACTGAATAGAGACGAAGGATTACCTGTTTCACAAAGCAGAAGCACTAATTTATTTAGCATTTCATCTAAAGAGGATAGCTTTTCCGAGGGCAAGAAATTCGGGACATTCTTCAGTTGATATACTTCCCAGAAAAGTTTCACTTGTTCCATAAAAAATGAGGTATCTGTTGCGGTTCTGAAATATATCACTTCAAATGTTGACAATAAGGATTTCTAAAAAAGAGAATTTTGGCGAATCATGAAGATGGAGATATCTTAGGTCATGAGCAAGGCTATCATAGTATTTGGTTTTGGTGAAGATCTTTCCAAAAAAACTGAATTATTTTTTCTTCACGCTTATCTCACTCTTCAATTGTATCATCATTGGATCTTACAATGTTGATCACAAAAGATCATAAAGTAAAGTCGGGTTTGTCGACTCTACGACCTGTTCAAAGAGATCTTAAAGAAATAGTTTATCTTGAGCTCGGATATAACGAGGCAACGATCAGTTCTTAACGGTCAGCATCAAACCAAGACAAAGCGATCCTATACAGTTTTGTTAACTAGCAGAAAGCCTCTAAGCCAGTACGATTTAAATATCGAACCGGTTGATAAAAACCTGAAAATTAAAGTAGACCGAACAAGTGGTTCCAGAACTAACACTCTTGCACCAAGAGATAACCAAGGCTAGTTGAGTAAAAAATAGAAAAAAATAGGAAAAAAAAATTAGAGAAAAGCAGAGCCACCGAAGTATTGCGCTGCTCTAAGACCCTATGTCCAGGGTCTTAAAAAAACAATAGATGAGGGAAAAAGCGTTCTCGGCTGACTTTAGGGGGTAAAAATTAAAACTGGAAATTTCTGACCTGTCTTTAACAAACAGTGGCTCCAAGTCAAAAATAGCCAAGTCGCATAATCTCGTTGCAATATTTTTACATCTATTTTCATACTCAGGGCATGAAATCGCTGACAAACACACATCTGAAAAAAGAAAGGTTCCGCCGCCTCATATTCAATATTTGAAAGTGATTATACAGGTGAGTGCAAATGAAAATAAGTATTGTATATCATATTGCAAAGAACTTGCGACACGACAAAGATTCCCTGACTCCTAATGGCTCCACACTCCAATAAGGAAAATACGTTTATGTGGCCGCTCACATACGCTAATTCGTACATCGACTGATTACAGCTTTGAGACCTTGGTTGAGAAGCAAAGCGTAAGAAGGGCGAGAAAGCGCAAGCGCAAGTAAAAGGCACTAAATTCTGACATTAGCCGAATCAACTAATTGGATAATGATCTAGCTATTCATGCTACCGACGTAAGCTCTAAACAGGTGTTTCAGCTCTAAACAGCTCTAAACCTACGCTAGCACAGGAGTAGGCCGACACGGATCGATATACCGAAGGTCGATGACTGTTGCTCTAAATATCTTTTAGGGGCTAAAAACGTTGCGCAACTCTTTCTCGTATAATGACGGCTACAAGTTTAACACTGAATGTTTGCAATTATTTAGTAGTTACCACAACAGTTTTGCTTCTCACCGAACCTTTTTTGTTCCGTTTTGATGTGAATTGTTAATGTTGGCGTTAATACTTAATTTTTTACCGTGCAATCGATGTCACCGTGAGTCTAGAAGACAAAACCGTCGTTGAACTCATTTTCATCAATTCAAACGCCTGGAAAGGGTTCAAATGCAGCACCATTGACCTGAGAACATTTACAGATGATCGACGCTAACGCCAACGTCGTTACTATTAATGCTATCTTTGACTACACATCGAATCCCTTCGCCTATCAACCAGCTCGAAGTATGGAGGCTGCCACAACGTTAGGAGAAAAAAAAGGACTCTGCCTCCCTTCAAACGAGACTCAACTGGCCTTCGTATTATGGAACATGCGAGCCAACTGAGCAGAACTCAAAGGATCTATGGTCCATGGTTTTCCACAGGGGATTGGTAAGCTTGCGGCCAATCTACACCGAAAAATCATTGGCCATATATCCCTCACTAGGACACTAGATCAACGATACTTTCTCAAAGCTACATAGGTCCCTAAAAAGCTTAATCCTAACGAGATGGTTAGAGAGAGGCTTCAGAAAGATATCCCAAAGCTTTCAATTAGCAACCGTTTTGAAGTCGCTGAATTGACAAGGACTTCTCTGATAGAATGAAAGTGTGAACATGAGTGAGCTAGGTCTGAAAAGCACTGCTTGCAATCTGTGTGATGTTTCACTACTCCGAGCAGTATTCGAATACGTGGTGCATTAGAAGGAGGCCTAAGCCTAATCAACCAAGTTAGCTGCATATTGTAAATCTGCAACGCCTGCAAGGGGTGACAGTCAGCATACAAGCAGATCAAACGCTAACATAAGCAGCAGCCACGGATGTTGTAAAAAAGAATTCTTGCCTTCCGTGGTTTAGCAAAGCGACATTTCTAATCAGCTGCACAACGAGTTGGACCAAATAACAGAAAGCTCCACTCTTTACAAGCGTTCAAAAGCTGCACGCTAATATCCTTTTCCATGTATAAACGATACCAACATTATATGATACTAAACTAACCTTTTATACACTCAGAGCCGAATGAATATGCTAACAAATCGCTCGTGGAGTGAAAGAGATCTTTTCCATGAGACAAGGTAGCTTCAAACTCTTCTAGCTATAATTAGAACAAATGTTAGAGGACAAACCTTAAAGAAAAGTTATTTCTAAGTGAAAAATCAATAATACAGGAGGTATACCTTTCGCACACTTTCCATTGCAGCGTTGCACTTATTGGAAGGAACCGCAGTGCCCTCCGAGGGATCCATTTTGATGAGAAAGGGCTCGCAACAAAAGATCGATTTCAAGCAAAACGAAAGGCAGGCGCGGCCTGTGCTAACTCATCCAACGTGAATTCGAATATGCATAGAATATATTATCCGTCTATAATTGATTCACAAAATGTGTCTGTTGGCGTGTTTGTTTGTTTATGCGTTTGTGTACACATGTATGTTGTGTATGTCTGTTTACGTGCATATGTGTGTGTGTGTGTGTTTGGACGACACCACTCATAATTCCCGTTGTTCTGGACCTAGAGCATTGAGATTTTTTATTATACAAGTGATTTGGTGGGAACCATGGAGATGAGTGATAGGTAATGGTAACAAGTGATAAGAGGTGATAGGAGTTCTAAGAGGCACAAGTCATCGAACCCCTTATGCTCTTCGTGTTAACAGTGGGACCATGACAGTTTGGTAAGCGATAAGAGATGACGTAAATGCAAAGTTGGTGTTAAAAAAAGGTATCAACTGATGAAACTAGCTTTCCTTCCCAATCTGGCGCTTTGTGCAAGGTAGACGGAACCTCGCTGGCTGACGACAGAAAAAAATAACTGATAAAGGCAAAAATGGAATGCCAGAATGCAAGGACCAGTGAATCCTTGCCCCTTTCGTATCATCAGCAGAACCTTGAAATTTTGGTGTGTGATGAAAGGGTAGGCGGTATTGCTGATGGCATATGGCAGAAGGTGACTTGAACAGTTTATAAGTACCAATAGAGGTCAGCATTAAAGAAGACAGCAAAAGATACATTAACCATCACGATTATGAGACAATTTCAAGACGAAGAGGAACGAAGGAGAAAAAAGGAGAAAATTAGTACAAAAAATTGAACGAAGTCTACATTGACCTCATATTCAGGTATCAATTGCGAAAAACCCGACCTGTAACATACAGAAACGAAAATCCAGTACGGGCACTCGGCTCTTACAGTAATCCGGCAAGAAAACCTCATTTCAATACGCAAATTCTCACCCGTCGCATATACGACGCGTCGACAAGAGGTGTATACGTGACTGTGGGACACCGTAACCCTCTAGTACCCCAACTCTAAAACCCGTGGGCCTCACCCTTAGGGTGCCTTTCCTTTGCATCGTGTATGTAACGGGTGTTTTGGAGGCGCTTCAGCGTGTGTTTCGGTTACTGTGTCACACATTCACGGGACGATAAAATCCGTCTTGTAAGAGTGCATAGAAAAATACACTAGGTGAAGGACACGGGGGGTGGTGGTGTGGGTCCCATTGGTTAGACAAGCACAGCAGCTAAAGATCGGACCAAACGGGAGTGCGACATACGAGAGCAGAAAAACAGGTGAGATCACCACTTTTGAAGGGCCCAAGTTCAAGCAGTTCGTAGGCCAGAGGACGCTGGGCAAGGACAGAACGCAACAAAATGTACATGCCCGTCCGTGGCAATTAGCCAACTATTGCAAGGATTCAATTGTGGGACCTCTATTGGTACGATACCACGGCTGTGGCCCCGCCCCTAACCGAAACGCACAGTGTTAAGTAATAGTTCGATTAGGGTAAGGGTGAAAGAGGGTGGAACCAAGTTGGGAGGTTGAAGGTCAAAAAAAACAAAGATGGGATCGTTTGCTTAGATTGAGGCTCACTGCATGCGCATAAGCACATGGAGGTAGCAAGTACCAAATAATGGACTGCGTTAGAACAAGCTGAACAACACATGAAAGTTCCACAAACACATAGAAATTCACAAAGCGAACAACAGAAATGAATCAGTCTTACTTGCTTAGCTGTGTAATGTTACCATGTTAATGTTAACATTATAAGCAATTTTCGCAATTATGGTTTGAG